GTTTTTGTGGTAAAATTAGGCACCTTGGCTGATACTCGGGTTGGCTTATACTCGATTATATGTGGTATATGTTTTTTAAAAGCAAAATTCTGCATTGCAATGGCTTTCTGCCACAAGGATGGCCGTTCGGTGAACTTGTGGCTTCAGTGGGAGAAGGCCCTGAGAGCTCTTTACTAGTGGTCATCAGAGCAGGGTCTGTTGGTTCACTAATTAGGCTGTGATTCCACCTTATTCACGGTAAAAATGGCATCTGCCTGTCCTGCTGAGTAATCCAGCCTGGTAACTGAGGGTGGATTTATTCAGCCTTCACTATGAGAGAGCTCCCTGCAGTTAGATAAACTGATCTGTTGCTTGGTAACTACAGGATTACTATTGTGGAGGCTCGAGAAGCCAGTGTGAGCGGGGTCTGGGCTTTTGGAGGGCAAGTAGGCAAGAAAGTTGGCAAGTGTCTGGGAAATCGCAGCTTGGCATCATGTGCCTAGGTTTACAGCGTCTCCTTTCCCAGCAAGCCCGGGCCTCAGAACAAAGGACAAGGAGCCAGTGCCCTGACCCAGGGGAAAGAAGGGTCCCGTTGGTGGCTGCTACGACAGCTGGTACAGCCTCTGTGCAGTGGACCCGCACGTCCTCCCTCCTGGGAATAGATCTCCCTCCCTCCCTACCTCCCTCCCTCACTGCCATGAAGTGGACTGCAACTCAGAGCGAGCCTCTCAGAGAGAAGACCGGCCTGGTGTGTTTGCAATGCCGTAACTCCTTACAGAGCTGCAGAGCTTCCACTTTCTCCAGCATAGCAGTTGCTGGGTCCACATGGCTGCAGTTACCAGCCCAGTGCATACCCCCTGATGCCCCTGGGGCTCCGTGGGAGTAGGTCAGGGTCATGAGCATCCTCTGGCGTCAGTGGGCCGCTGAGTGTTGGGTCCCGGGTGGAAAGTCCCACTGACTAGAATAAATCCCTAGGAAATGTTGCGATTAGAACCTTAAGGCAAGAGCTGCTCTTTAGTGACATCCCCTACAGCAATGTGAACTCAAAGATCCTTAGTAAACAGTCATCCTATTTTCATAGCTAGTGGCGCACCCTACCCAACAGGGAATACCTGCTGCAGCCAAGCTTGTCTGTGGAGACACAGCTCTTGGGTCACTGGGAGAGGGCTACCTGGCCACGTGAGCGGGAGAGTATCTGCCTGTCTGTGGCGGACACAGATGCTGCCCCTCGTGCCCCCTCTCCCGACTCTGTCTAGTGGCCTGCCATTGGCGAGCACAGCAGGGCTGCCGAAGTGCAGCTGGCTGGGAGAACGGGGTTCCGCAGCCTCTGCTAGCTCTGTAGGCAATTAGGGTATCAATCACCGAGCTAAGATTCTAGTTATTTATTTTGCTTTAGCCATGGCAGGAGCAATCATTGAAGTGCTGGAGTTTAGGCTGGGGAGAGTCTTTTGACTGAAATTTTGCATATTTTCAAACTTGGGTTGTTACATTTAAAATTATACACACTGTGAGTGCCTGGCTTCACACAGAGGAAAGAAAAAGCATTGCTTGCTGTCAGAACCTTTCCACTCTGTCTGTCATGAAACCCAACTAAAAATAAACTACAAGCACAGAGAACTGGCAGGCATCAGTTTGGAACAAGTTGAGCGCTCTCCACTGCGGGGCCCACCTCCCGCCGCTTCCAAACCACCCGGCCCGGCCCCCACCAGGGACGCCAGTGCTCAGGGCCCTCGCTGAGCAGGTCCCAGGAGCTAAGAGCTTCAGGTTTGGGGAGCTGGTGGATGCCATCAAAGGAGCCCCGGCCCCACTAGAAGGGGCCCTAGAGCCAGTCCTGGCTCCCATGTAGCTTCGTGGAAGTTGCTTTGAGTTTGGGTCCTCGGTTTCCTCGTTTTTCCCTGTGATTGATGACACACCATGCACCTGCTGGCTAGTACCTCAGATGCCTTTTGGCATGTAATCTCTATAGACCTCTGAGCTGACTGGCGTGTCATTTCATTGTTCAGAGGAGGAGTGTGACACAGAGAGCCTGTGTCACTCACCTGTTGTCACACAGCTCGTGAGCAACAGCTGGGTGCTTCTTCGCCCTTAGCTCTCACACACACACACACACACACACACACACCACCCCCGTCCCCCTCCGTTTTCCTGTTTCTGCCCCCATTGTCCCCCTGAAGTGACTCCGCTGGCCACAGCATCAGATGCACACACACACCCCGCCCCCCTCCATCTTCCTGTTTCTGCCCCC